TGAGAGAGAGAGAGAGAGATTGTGTGTGTGTGTGTGTGTGTGTGTGTGTGTGAGAGAGAGAGAGAGAGAGAGAGTGTGTGTGTGTGCGTGAGTGTATTCCCCGTAAATCTCTATTCCTATAGATATATCAAAACATAATAATAATAATGATAATGATAATAATAAACAGAATGCCCTGATGTTCAGAATGACCGTGATTAGCACACGTTCAGTCCCAGTAACAAGTGCTCTCAATGGATATCTCTCCCACTTACGTATTAGGAGTGGACTTTGGACTTAAAAGACGATTCACTCGACGGTCTCCCAACCAGTGAACAACCCCCCAAACCCGAGCTAGTAGACACAGACTCATCGGATGTCACCCCAATGGACACACTCAGCTATGATATCAGCGGTGGTACCCAAGCTTAGGCCTACCGCTTCTTCTGAGAGTCTCCATACCATGCGATTTCGGGGTATTGGGATGACTACAGGAGACTTAAACGGGAGAGAGAGTCACCATACCATGCGATTTCGGGGCACTGAGATTACTACAGGAGACTTAAACGGGAGAGACAGTCACCATACCATGCAATTTCGGGGTATTGTGATGACTACAGGAGACTTAAATACCATACCATGCGATTTCGGGGTATTGGGATTACTACGAGAGACTTAATCGGGAGAGACAGTCAGCTTTACAGGTCTCATGCCGTCATATTGCTAAATAGAGACTGAATATCTCTTTTTCCCAGGACTGAAGACTCGGCAAATGATAGTGAGACGAAGCATAACTCAGCGTGTTGAAGGAGGAGCTTCGCAGGATATCTCGAACGCTGTTACATGGAGGCCGAAGATATAGGACGAACCGAGGAGAGAGAAGTCAAGGTCTCTATCTCGACGCCGACAGGATGGAAGGAGTAGAAATTCCTCTGTGTAGGGCAGTATGTCACACACATGGATAACCTAAATGTAGGGTAGTATGTACAGTATGACCTAAAGTACAGTAAAGAAGAAAAGGCGATCAGAATAATGGCGGGTGACGAGGAAAGGAAGCTGGTTGTCACCCATGGAGGGGAGCGAGGGGTCGGATTCCTCAGGAAATCCGGAAAAAGGGCAGGACCCCCTCGCCAGGGGACAAGAACGTAGTCGACGCACACACACACATATATACATTTATCTATCTATCTATCTATCTATCTATATATATACATATATATGCACATACACACACACACATTTACATATATATATATATATATATATATATATATATATATATATATATATATATATATATATATATATATGCACATACACACACACACATTTACATATATATATATATATATATATATATATATATATATAATATATATATATATATATATACACTCGCATACATATACATATATATGCATATATATATATATTCATATATACATATGTATATTTATGTATATATGTATATATATGTATATATATATCTTCATATATATATATGTATATATATATATATATGTATGTATGTATGTATGTATACATATATATGTGTATATATGTATGTATATGTATACATATATGTGTATATATGTATATATACATGTATGTTTGTTTGTGAGTATATATATATATATATGTAAATATACATATATATACACACATGTGTATATTTATACATACATATACATGTATATACATACATACAAATATATATATATATATATATATACATATATATATATATTATATATATATATATATATATATATATATATATATACACACACATGCATATCCATGCTGCATACAGTGACATTACATCTCTTTCTGTCACATATATAAATTTACTGGAAGTGACTTGCGAGATCAGGGAGTCATCGAGAGAGCCATTGACTGTGCTTATATTCAACGTCACGTCCAAACGGAACGCACCTCAAAACAAACTGGAAAAGGTTAGAAGTCGTGTTTGTGGCTTCATCTAACCCAAGATTTGACAGGGACGACCAAGCTTGCCTCAGGGTTCGGCACAAAGGGTTCGACTTATGCTTCGGAAAGTAAAAACAGACATTGAAAACTTAAGCTTCACCAATATACAGAATTTTCTTCCAGTTTCGTTCCCGCTATGGAGGTGGAAGGAGGAAGGCGGGGACCTCATCCTTAATTTGCTAAATTTGACTGCTCTGGGTGTCTGTGTAGAAATCCTGGACATAACCGCCAAATGAAATGTTTTTTGTACAGAACGTTGCATAAGGTCACACGACTGAGCAAAAGACAAAGCATGGGTATACTGAATATGTGTAAAGTAACGAACAGGACACCTTTTTTTCCAAACAAGCGACATAGGAACAGAACAATGATCTTTTTGTCACACTGAAAAGACCATTAAACTACTATCCGTTTTCCAAGCGAATTCCGACTTCTACGATGTTACTCTCATCTCTGGATAAACCTGCTATGATTGCCATTGTCACAGAAATTAGAAAACAAACAAAAATTACGAGAAAAATAGATGTCATTA